AAAAAAAAAAAAAAAAAAAAAAAAAAAAAAAAAAAAAAAAAAAAAAAAAAAAAAAAAAAAAAAAAAAAAAAAAAAAAAAAAAAAAAAAAAAAAAAAAAAAAAAAAAAAAAAAAAAAAAAAAAAAAAAAAAAAAAAAAAAAAAAAAAAAAAAAAAAAAAAAAAAAAAAAAAAAAAAAAAAAAAAAAAAAAAAAAAAAAAAAAAAAAAAAAAAAAAAAAAAAAAAAAAAAAAAAAAAAAAAAAAAAAAAAAAAAAAAAAAAAGCAGAAGGAAAAACAGAGGGGAAGGAGACAAAAGGGAAGAAGGGGAGAAGACACACAAGAAGGGGAGAAGACAAGCAAGAAGGGAAGAAGACACACAAGGGGAGAAGAAGCATAAAAAGGGAGAAGAAACACAAGGGAAGAAGACTCACAAGAAGGGGAAAAGACACAAAAAAAAAGAGGGAGAGACATGCAAGAAGCGGGGAGGCAAGCAAGAAGGGGGGAGGCAAGCAAGAAGGGGGGAGACATGCAAGAAAGGGGGGGATATACAAGAAGGGGGGGATATACAAGAAGGGGGGGGAAGATATACAAGAAGGGGGGGAAGTCAAGCAAGAAGGGGAGATGAAACATAAGAAGGAATACATAAAAGTGAGGAATACAAAAGAAAACACAAAAGAAAAGGAGAATATACAACCCACAAGATAAGGGGGGGACACACGAGGGAAAGACACAAGGGGCGGGGAGGAATACACACAAGAAGGGGGGAGGGGCAGACACACAAGAAGGGGGGAGGGGAAGACACACAAGAAGGGGGGAGGGAGGAGACACACAAGAAGGGGACAAGAAAAATGGGGACATGAGGAAGAGGGAACTACAAAAAGGATAAAAAAACACAAAAGTATGAAAACAAGCACCAGGGGAAAAACACAAGCAAAATGGGGACAAAACATGTGTACAGAGAACAAGACAAACACAAAGGAGAGAAGATAAGCAAAGGAGAGAAAAGAAAAGTAAAGAAGAGAGAATACAAACACAAGAGAAACAAGACATTGGCCAAGAGACAAGAAAATGGCCAAGAGAAAAATGACGCAGACCAAGAGAGAGACAAGAGACAGACCGAGAGAAACAAGATGGCGAATGAGAGAGACAAGTAGGCAGAAAATGGAAGCAGAGTAAATGAGACATAACAGAGAAAGAGGCAGGGAATAGAGAGAAGAAATAGAGTCCAGGGGGGAAGCGGTGAGAAAAAAAAGAAATACAGTACACAGACAGAAAGAGACAAGATACAGGAAGAGCCAGCAAGCAGAGAGAAAGACCATGAAGAGAGAGAAAATGAAACAAGACAACAAGAAAGAGACATGACGACCTAGAAAAAGAAATGAGAAAACGGCCAAAGAAAGAAGAAAAGAACTGAGAAAACAAAATGGAAAGGGAAAATCAGAAAGGACAGTAAATGACAAATGAAAAAAAATGCTCAAATACTGGAGATAGAGAGAAAAAAAAGAGTAAATATAGAATAAATAAAATAACATAATAAGGACAGAAATGAAAACTCTCTTTTTCAGAAAATGCAAGGGTAAACAAATAAGGACAGGCAGGCCTAGTAATTCACTTACTAATTAAGCCCTTATGGAGCTATCTATTTGTAAAATATATAAGATGAATTAATAAATAAATAAAACAGGTCCATGAATGACAGTGCACACCCCTAGGTTAACCACCTTTATAATATACACACGCATACATATATACATTCTGAATGTCTTCACAGTTATTTACAGATGCACACACACGCCTTCAAACAATCAAACAAACACACATGCACACACGCGCACGCATACATATGCATACACACACATACACACGCATGCATACACATGAAAGCATACATACACATACACACACACGCGCATACATACACATACACACACACATGCACACACACACACATACAATCAATCAATCAAACACAAACTACCACTCATCAAAGCAATGAAAATACAATCTTTTCTGGTTATTATCACTTATATGGCAATCCTCATAACTGGTAACTCACATAATTAATGCATTTAATAATTCATTGATAATCAATGGAAATAGGCCTACTACAGCTTGAACTTTCCAGACCCATCCCTTGGAGAAAGTAAATAAAAACAAGCAAAAGTTCACCTAACAGACCTAGCTGACCCATTCGAAAAGCTTTAATAAATAAAACTACTGAAGAGCCCAAGGCTATGCCTGTCATGTGATGTTGGAAAAGTGCCAATGTGGCCTACCGGAAACAGGCTATCACTTTTTCCCTGAACACAACTCACTGATACTATGATGACTAAATTCTTTAATATATATATAAAATATACTGTTTGGTGCTTCTACACTGAGTACTATATATATCTGATACCACAGGATGCACTAAAGGAATGCCTTTTATAGATATTACAAAGTGACAGACTTGGTGTAACTTTTACATTTAAACCTTGGTAATTTTCTGGACCAAAAAATATCATTTGTAAAGGCAGAGTATCTCAATTTTCAGAAGAAAATAAAAACTTATGTCTACTTCAAACAGTTGCATTTTTAATATATGTAATCATTAGTTACAATAATTTCTTCTTTGCAAAATGCATTTATAGAGCACTGAAGAAACAACTTGCCAAATATCTGTCAAACAAATTGCATCCAGTTACGAAAACAAAACAAAAAATATCCTTACCTCGATATAGGATTGCATGGTAGCATCTGTGGGTCGGTCTGTGATAAGGAAGCGCATATTCTTGAATTCAATTTCAGAGGGCGCTGGTCGGATGCTCTTGGATCTCATGTTTGCACTGTTAGTACTCATACCGCTTAAAAAAAACAAGAGGCAGTAGCAGAGGTATATAGACTCTCCCACAGCTGAGGACTTTTTTTTTGAGGAGTTGGAAGTGCGGTTTGCTTGAGCTCACAACAAGGGAAGATGACAATGAATGATAATCTCACGAGGCTGGCCGGAATCTCACCGGCACTAGGAGACCTCGATAGCGTATGATGAACTTGCACAGGATCTCTTGATAATTACAAATATATATATTTATATATGAGTGTGTGTGTATATACGTATATATATAAAAAAGGCTGCGATCAGATTTTATACACCGTTCCACAATCACACTTATATACACACACTTAGAACACACTCGCTTTGGCTCTTCACCAATAAAAATTAAAACTGTAAAAAGGTCGAGGAGGATGGGGCTTGTGAAGGAAGGGACTGGCAGGTGGCAGCACTGAGTGACTTTTAGTGAACTTCCTCCACCAGACGTGTGGTAGTAGTGATCCCTTAATTTTGATTTAGCCCGAAGTGCTGGCTGAAGATCAGGACCTCTCCCGCGCAGCTTAGGCCAGAGAGACCATAAAGCAGAAGAGCAGCAGCAGCAGCAGCAGCAGACAACAATGCAGCCACGAAGGACCCGCTATTTTTCACACCTTCACTTTACCCCATCACCAAGTTCAGTCTCCCGCTATTCACGCACTTACACACAGGCAACGCGCACACAAATTGGCATATGAAGTAGACTTTTTCTTTTGCTTATTTGATGTGATATTGTGCCTTGCAGAACTCGCCAGAGCCTTTCAGTAGCTCCATAAGTGTGTAGCCTCGCCCACTGGACAGCTGAAATGGAGAGAAGTGTCAATGAAATGCAAAGGAATTAGAACATTTTTCTGTTACATCTATTTTCGGTTTGATCTACTCTTTAACATGTTTCAAACTTTTGTTTAACAAGTTTTGCTCTAAACCATTTTCACTTAATTTTCATTTACAGATTATTACCACATAAAACAGAAATTTGAGAAAAAAAAACAGATTAAGAACCAATTTACATTATATAGCAATATGTATATACCTTACACTAGAAGCTAGAAATCAAACAAAAAAAAAAGAAAAAGAAAGGAAAAAAAAAAAAACTATCTGACTGAAGTATGTATTAATGAAAGTAATAACATAACAGCTTCAGTTCATATTTAGAAACGCACTTGCACATGACTAAATAATATCTGACATTTCTCTCCTTGGTGTGTCCACTGGCATCTGCCTATGACTAAATATAGCTACACTCAAGACGCACAACCACACTGTATTGGCTACTGTGAGAAATAGATGACATACCATCAACTTTGCATCTGTGCAACATCAAAAAGAGGTAGAAACTTACACATAAACAAACATATCTAAAGAGACTTCATGCTAAAATGAGGAATAGTTTTCTAAATGAGTCATATAAAGAGTAAAAAATATACAAAGAGTAATGAAAGGTGAGTCACGAAAATATTGAAAATATAGAAAAAATAAGTACTTTAGATATGTCCTTCAGCTCATTCATAAATATGGAATGTAAGGTATGGTGTTATCTAGCAAGTTTTATCATGTAGGCTACCTTATCAGTAAATGAATGCTTTATCAATCCCAGGCAGGGAGGGGAGAGCAATTTCTCTCTCCTGAATGCTATCATCATCTTTTTTCCTAACTTATGTGTTAAACATTTGCCCTTATGTGTTAAACATTTGCCCTTATGTGTTTTTGAGTCCCTGATAATAGCTATCTGATCCCCTGGTCACTTCCAAGCATTCCATAAAACTACAGAACCATGTGTATAACAGACTGACATTACATATTCTTCTACATTTTCAAAACACAAAAATAAGATTTCTCATTTCTCAATCTCCATGCCACATGAAGTCATATTTGGTCAACAGGGAAACAAGGAAAATAATCAGTACCATTTATAACATTTCTTATTTGTAACAAAACTACTTTATCATAATACGATACTTAAGACAAATTATAAATGGGGATAACCCTAAAAGGACATGGAATAACCCAGAACACTCATTTGTGCGATATAAACAAAATCCCTTGACTACAGGTATATCTTACAAAGAAATAATGAGACAACTATTACGATTAAACAACTACATTGTCCTGTGCTTTGTGGTAATAAATGCTGACTTGTTAAACGATTACTTTTTTTCAACATACTCGTGAGTTGTGATTTTAACAAGCAGAACTGCAGAGGACATACAATAAGGTCAGGATAAAATGTTTTAATGTTCTTTTTGATTTCCGGGATTTATTCTTAAATCGTTCGTTAATTTCTGGCATAAATATACGTATAAGGAGCAAAATGTACAGACAGAGAAAGAGGTACACCAAAAAAGGTTGAAAAGCATGAAAGGGAAATATATCATTTCTACACCTGGGCTATTACAATGGGAAAAGTACTGAAAAGTTTAATTTAAAAAAAAAACACCATAATCCATGAATGGTTAAAAAAATTCATTTAAATGATGCCAGCGTATATAAAGTTGTGAAATATATTCTCTCCTTGCACTGAATAAAAAGCAATCAATTGTTAAGGTCTCCCTGCACCAACTGAAGCAATGGCCAACAAAACCTCCACAACATCCATTCCAGAAGGAGCCTAGACTAGTTCCTTAAATGACAATAAATCAGCTAGGAGGTCTACACACTCCACCTTGCCAAAATGCATGTTGTGAAGGTCTGCTGGCATTCACTTCTGCAATTGTTTTGCAGAAGTGGGTAACCCTTTTCAATATCTAACTGCACCCTTATCCTTCAGTTGCACTCACTCATTAATGCAGCATCTTTTTTTTCAACATTAATAGCATTTCTATTCAAGCTAACTACCACCATATGTGGGAATCTAATGCTACAAAGTAGAGCAGACCATGGAGACAGATTACATAACAGAAAGGTAATTTATAGCTGTATTGATATAGGAATGTAATATCACTTCACAGAATGTCAGACAAACAAAGAAACCTCAAAAGGAAATTTGAAAATCCTGTATCATATATTGTAGGTCCTTTGATAACGTCTTTCTTGAACAGAAAATCCTGTCTATTCTCTTCCTGTAGTCAATTTTGTGTTTGAATGTTTTTAGCCTAATACAACAAAACAACAAAAGCAAAGAAGATTCCAGTTTGCTGCAGTTGCACCAAAGCAAAATGCACAGCTGATGCTTGATGCAAACATGTATGGCTTCTTAAACTTCTTGGCATGCATTTACACGTGAAAACAATTTGAAAGGCGCAGAACTGCAATGCTGAAGCACAAAAATACAAGACAACCGAACTTTGCGACATTAAAATATGACCGTTCTATTACCCTAAAAACTTTGAAACTCCCACGGAAAACTGACAGCCTATCACCCTAAAACAGTTCTAACTCGAGGCTCTATCCCCTCTGATTGCTAGACTTAGTACTACTTGAGAGTAAAATGGCAACTCATGCAACTGCAAGACCCAAAGATGTATTTCTCAGAATCACTCACCTGCCATATTTCAAAGAAAAAGAAATCTCCCCATTGTTCTAAATGATTTGTAAATATCATGATACTGCAAACTTTGTAGCATTTAACGCCATTCTACACTTTAACACGTCCTGTCACAGTATGACATTTGTTCCTTTCCTTTGTCTAAAATTTCCTGTCTATCCATTTTAAACAAAGGTTCTCACTAACAGAATTCTTCTAAACACGCAGAAATAACCGAGGCAATTTCAAAATGCAACTGGCCATCAATGCAAGCAACATTTCACGCGAATTTCAAGCAACACAAACATATTGCAAGGCGTCCCAAGAAGACCAAGGAAGACACTCACATTCAAAACTCGCTCCCTTGTGAAAAACAAAATACAAAAACCCTTTCCACACACCCTATGGACTAGACCTCAGTCCTCTTAAGGTCAATCAAATCACAAATTAAACAAAAAAGGAAAAAAAAGTGAGTCAACAACCACCACTCCCCTCCCCCTCCCACCCAAAGGGAGAAATCAAATAAAAAAAAATGAACTCCCTGCAAAACAAAGGCCTGATTGACCCTCCCCCCACATCATAAAGAGGACAGCCACCCCTCAGAATCCTCCAGCCAAGTAATATGAGGCGAAAATAACCAGACAAAAGAGGCCAACACTGAACTTCTGGCCAGACATTCCAAGGCCAAACCGTCTCCATCAAGCTCCTCACACACAACAAAAAAAAAAATGAAAAAAAAAAACTACAACGATCTCTCCGGCGATAGGCCTACACTACGAATAATAAAAGAGAAAATCCCCCAGCGAATCCTTAGAGCTCGAAATCCCAGCTCCCGAGTGATCCTTAGGCTCTCCCTCAGCAACTCGCCCCATATTGACCCATTAGGACACGCAGGACATCCCCTTTTCCCTTCAATCCTCCCTAATCCCATCCCTCCCTCTCCCCTCGAATCACCCGACCCCCGAAAACCCCCAAGAACCCCCCCACAGAAAGCAATCCCACCCCCCGAGAAATCCCACAGAAAAATCCCCCCCTATAAGAATCATCAGCCATTAGAAACGAGGACACGGAATAACCCGCGTTTTAAGACTCACCTGTGCGTTGTTATCCCCGCAGTATTTAAATTTCATGTTTCAATGAACTGCCTTGACACAGAAGAAGCTCCGTCGGATATCAAAGGTGATGCATTGGCTTTGCATCACTCGGCGGGGGGAAATAAGACCTCGGAGGAGCCACAGGGAGAGTCTCGGGTCCAGGCGCATGCGCAGTCGCCCGCACTGTTGCCACGGCCGGACGGAGCCTTCGGGACTCTGCTAGGCATGGGGCTGCTGCTCTAGCACTCTGCTTTTGGGGTTTTTCTTCTGTTTGTTAGGCTACTTCTCTATCACTATCTATCGATTTTCAAGTATTAGTTTTAGCACCTTTTTTTAACAATTAGACATTTGTTAGATGAGACAGGTGTTCTTGTAATATCTATTCAAGCGAAATTATCCCTAGTCAAAATGTTACTATCATGTTAATGTGTTATTAATTCCAATTCTCTGAAGTAATTCTCTATTATTGCTCTTTGTAGTTTTCTTGCTTATTTCTTATGAACATTCTTTTCTTGGTTGTGATTGCCATATTGCGCTCACTATCTATCTATATCTATATATATATATATATATATATATATATATATATATATATAACTGACTACCTTTTCATAACAATATTTCAGCATAACTATTTCTTCATGTTCCTTTTAACATATACACCCATGTACCTATGTACCATTGGATTATTATTAAATTTGCATTACCCTCATTGGTAACAAAACTAAACACAATTTAAACATAATGAATACAAGAATGGGAACACATCTCGCAATATTTCGAGCATGTCCCAAACGCGTAAAGCTTTTCAGACATTTCTTATAGATTACACCATTATTTGAAACCATTGCTTATAGAATCAGGAAAGGAAAAAAAAAGTATCCACGCCAAATACAGCAGCAACATTTGACAACTATAACATAATAATAACAAACACAAAAATGGTGTGATTGAAATTCGTGATAAATGTATTGAATTCATCGTTCCTTCAATACCCATAAAATTGACCTTTGCCCCCAAGGAGAGGTAAATGAAGGTCAAGCAGGGTCAAATAAGGTGACCCTCGTTACTCAAGGGAACGTAATTCTTCTTACCATATATGGAAAAATAAACGTTTTATCTTAAGATGTATTTCATGATTTTATTGTTTAATGGGTATTCATTCATAGCCGTATAACATATAGCTGGCTCTATACAAAATAATTATAATGATATCAATAATAATATCAACAACAATCATAATAATGATGATGATGATAATGATAATAATAATAATGATGATGATGATGATGATGATAATGATAATGATAATAATAATGATAATAATAATAATGATAATAATAATAATGATAATAATAATAATGATAATAATAATGATATAACAACAGCAACAATAATAATAAAAATATAACTGCAATAATAATATTAATATTAATATTAATAATAATAATGATAATATTAATAATAATAATGATAATATTAATAATAATAATGATAATAGTAATAATAATAATGATAATAGTAATAATAATAATGATAATAGTAATAATAATAATGATAATAGTAATAATAACAACAATGAAAAAACATATACTATAATAATAATGATAATGGTAATAATGATAGCAATAGTAGTAATAGTAATGATAATGATAATAATATCAACATGAATAACAATAACATCAACAACAATAATGATAATGATAACGATGATGATGTTAATTATAGTAATTATAATAATAATAATAGTAATAATAATAATACAATTATAATAATGATAATAGTAATAATAATAATACAATTATGATAATGATAATCATAATAATAATAATAACATCAACAACAATGATAATAATAAAAAATGATTATAAAAATAATAATAATAACAATAGTAATAATAATAATAATAACAATAGTAATAATAATAATAACAACAATAATAATGATAATGATAATAATAAGGATTATAATAATAATGACAACAATGATAATAATAATAATAATAATAATCATTATTATGATTATCATTATTATTATTATCACAATCTTAACAATAATATATAGATAACAACAATAATAACAAGTAACGATAATACATATACTAACAACAACAGTAATTATTTTAGTAACAATGATAACAATAATCAGATCATAACAATAATAATTACCTCCCCCCTCTCTCTCTATCTATCTATCTATCTATTCATCCCACACCTACCCCTCCCCCTTGACTGTCTGTCTGTCTGTTTCTGTCTCTCTCTCTCTCTCTCTCTCTCTCTCTCTCTCTCTCTCTCTCTCTCTCTCTCTCTCTCTCTCTCTCTCTCTCTCTCTGTGTGTGTGTGTGTGTGTGTGTGTGTGTGTGTGTGTGTGTGTGTGTGTGTGTGTGTGTGTGTGTGTGTGTGTGTGTGTGTGTGTGTGTTTGTGTTTGTGTCTGTGTGAGTGTCTGTTTGTGTATGTGAAGTTCATCAACATACGCCACAACTTTCACAAGGTTGGCAATACTGTATCGCTACCCGCAAATTTGCTGAACAATATTTTAGCGATTTAACAATAGTTCTTGTTATTATGTAGATTACAAAACGGAATCGCACATCACATCGCATCATAGTAAATACTAGAAAATTTTCTACAAATTCTATTTCACATTAGGAATTATAAAAGGACATTATATTATTACTTTCTACGAACTCAAACGCATGCGCAATGATAGCATGACGAAATATGGTGTAAAGGCTATACGTATATTATCTATTTCTCTTGGCAAAATATTACGAAATTCACTATCTCATTCGTAGTAGATGATGCAACATGCGGAACACGTGGAGAAGAGAAAATAAAAACATGGAATTCATACTTGACTCTTCGAGGTCGCGTTTCAAGCTCAGAAACTGTTTCTAGAACAATATTTACCGATAGTTTGTTCGTGCTCGCTCAAGATTTAATCCTTTTCACACAGCATTATAAAGTTACAATTCCCAGGGGTGAATCCTGACGAATAAAAAAATCCCGCAGAGTCAGATCTTTTTTTTAAGTATAAGCTTGTAGATGCAGTTCACGATCCTAGTAACCCATGATTTCTTGGAAATGTTGTGCAAGAGTCTCTCAGACGTCATCGTGGACCTGCACGTGGGCGACCCTTCAGAATCCCATTTACTTCGCTTTTCTTGCGATTTTACTCTAGTTCGCTGCATAAAAAAAACGAGACACAGCTTGAAGAAGGTGTACGCACGCGGCGCTAATGAGGGTTAACGAATGAGCCTTTGATCTACGAACGGCTGAAGTGCGAGGTGATCGGATGTCAGATTCCCATGAAACGAGATGACGCGAATCCAGGTACTGATGGGAACGCCTTGTTGCTTCGAGGAAAATCGTCTCATAGAGTTTCGCTGAATAAAGCAAAACTAGCAAATATGCTTTGAATGCACAAAAAACTCTCTGTTTCCCTAGCTATACACTTCTATACGGTATGTTGGTCGTCGATGATTTTATGTTAGCATATACTTAATATATCCAAACACCTGTAAGAAACAGAATCAATAAATCTCTTTGCAACGTGTAATAGCTTGCTAAACCCGAGTTGCAACATGGAATTTAGATTTATGATGTTCAAGAAGTCTACTAGAATATGAAAAAAATCATTCTCGTCTTGAGGCAAGCAGATCTAGTATATACTGTTTGCACTCTTTTTTATATGGCACTACCTACACATTCTTGATATCTTCGTTTTGAAGAGAGTACGTACATATTGCTGGCATTCTCTTTTTGAACAGAAAACGTATGTTCACTTGGCATCCGCTTTTTGAATAATGCAAACGATTATACAGTTGGCATTCTGCTTTGGGATAGAGGACAAATATACGCTACTGTGTTTGACTTTTTAGAACAAAGTACTAATACACTGTAGGTACTAACATTACGAGTATATAGTAGACAAGGCAAAGCACAAATTTTACTTTAGGTTCTAAACTAGTTATTAGCTGGGCACACCCTCGGCCAACGGTCTAGTCGGACGGGCGAAGTCAATTAAGGGGAACTATAGGGGTACCCTCATGGTAGGAAGAAAACGGCACATCTAAGAAATGGCAAGGGTGTTATAACGAAAATGGAAATGTACGATCAAAGAAGGGATTAGTATACCATGGTGAAACTTTCCCACACTGTAATGACTGAACTTGAGTGAGAATAATGAATGGATGATAATAAATGGCTACCATACATTTACTTCTGGGAAACGAGAAGATATGCTTATTATTTAACATTTTAGTATCATCACCCTGTCTATTGTCACGAGTATCATTGCACTCTTCTTCCGAACAGGGAGGCCAAATTTCACACTTCTACAGCGTAAATATATGCAACAGATACACATCAAAACAAATTTCACACGATCTCAGAACGTTATAATGGAGGCCAAATATATTGCACCACAAAGACAAGATACTGATAATAAACAAAACTTTAAAGACCTAAAGGTCTGATCAGGTTCTTTCTAACTGAATTTACGTAAACTATCATCAAGGAATCCATATACATACACACACACATACATGTGTGTGTATATATATATATATATATATATATATATATATATATATATATATATATATACATATGCATATATATGTACAGATAGATATGTGTATATATCTACACACATATACATACATACACATACACACGCACACGCACACGCACACACGCACACACACACACACACACACACACACACACACACACACACACACACATATACATATATATATATATATATATATATATATATATATATATATATATATATATTATATATATATATATGTATATATATATATATATATATATATATATATATATATATATATGTATATATATATATATATATATATATATATATATATATATATATATAAATATATATATGCACACACATGCACACACACACTCACGTACACTCACACATACACACTTATATATACATATATATATATATATATATATATATATATATATATATATATATATATATGTATATATATAAATATATATATATATAAATATATATATATACATACATATATATATATATATACATATATATGTATATATATATGTGTGTGTGTGTGTGTGTATGTATATATATATGCATATATATGCATATATATATATATATATATATATATATATATATATATATATATATATA